TATATCTTGCCATTCTCATAGAAAAGAAGATATAACACTTATATTTCCTATCAAAGATGGGTTTTCCCTGTCATCAAATTCCATTCCCAAGTCAGCTGCTACCTTAACATTTTTTTCCCAGATAGAACAATGAACAATTGGATTTTAAAGTCCACATTAATTGTACAAAAGGGTTCGCCACAAATATGACATAATTGACTTTTATATCTTAAGAGTCAACAAGTATAAAAGTCTAACCAGATATATTTCTTCTACAAAAAATCTAAATTTCAGATTTGCAGTCTACATGAGTTTGATGTGATTACATTTAAACTATATACTCCTAGGCTTAAATTTTGTTAAATTAGAAGGGAAGAAATCCTGGTTTTAATGAAACAAAAAAATACTGCAAACTCAGAACATTGGATTTTTTAAAATCCTGGTAAGAAATAGAATCATTTCAAAATGTAAAAGAGTAGAGACTCCCAGTGCTTCTAAAATGTTTAAAAGATTAAATACAGTTCATTAATGTTTATTTAATATCTTCTTCAAATGGTTAGTTTTAGGGTATTATCAGTGATTTATATAACTACTCTACATACCAAATTTGGTTCGCAAAATTGTTCTAAATGTTTCATTCATAAATTCTATGTATCTTATAAAGTACTATGTCTGCATCCTCAACAAATCTGTCTATTAGGAAATAGAAATACATACATAACACTCCTCTACTTTTATTTTTTTTTTATTTTTTTACTCCTCTACTTTTAAATAAAATACTACAGACATTTTCAAATGTGGAAATAGAATGCTAAAAAAAATATGGCTGTTTAATATCAAGTTTTCATTAATACTACAATATTCTTACTCTGTTCATCACTACAAATTAAACTTAGTTTATTATACAAAAATAATCAAATTTGAAAATAACAGATTGATAAATATATTTTCACTTATAAGGAGGTATATTTCAGTATGAATAACATTGCTGCTATGTTAATGTACATGAATACTGCAGATAAAACATATTATGTCTTCATATATATATATATATATATATATATATATATATATATACTTTAGGACAGCTGTTTAAGGGTGGTAAGAGGGTAAACAATGTGGTCAAACAAATATTACAGCCTTATGTGACAAGAAGAATCTTAGTAATCTTGTTTTTTTTCAGCAATTATCATAGATAATTCAAGTACAATTATATTAGTTTGAGGAAATTAGTATTTTGTAGTTTTATCAAGTACTTAAAGTGAATTTTTCAAAAAAATCATTACAGTATCATATAAACCAAGTTTCAGTCATTTCCAAAATAAATTTTGATTTTTAAAGACAGTTACAAATTAAAGTACTGAGCAGTGTAAAAAAAAATAACTAGAAATATCATAATAAAAACTGAACAAAAATAGAGAAAAAACATATTACCTTATGAAGCACACGTTCTACTGTTCTCATATGATCAGCAACGCATTCTTTGTCCCTAAAAAAGGAAGGATTGGATATGAGTCAAGTCCCAATCTTTCTACACCTGCTAAACATTTTAGCATAAGTCACTATGATGAACAAAAGAGTTGGTTATCATTTTTTTCCTTTTAAAAGTACAATGCCTACTATGTCTACACTTAATACTTGTATTCATTCATGCTGCCTATCCCACATTTGGGGGGCCACAAAAATAAAATAAAAGAAAAAAATCATGATTACATAATTGATAGTAAGAATATCGAGGGAAATGTTTTCTTTTTATAATGAAAAAGACTTTAAAATGTTTAATAATACAGAAATATAAATTGTTTATACTATGCAAAATAATATTTTCTTACTACACAGTTTGGGTATGTGTGTGCTACAATTACACAAAGAACCCTCTATGACCTGACAAGGAATATGCAGTTAGTAGCATCTCCTATTGACCTTATATATTGAATTCAGCTTTTATAACTAAAAAAGTTTGAACAAATATGCTGAGGAGAAAAATTTGGTAGCAAAGTATGAACTGAAAACTGTAAATAATGAGTTATCTCTCCATATTTCAAATGAACCTTATTTAGCTTCATTAGAATATACCCAAAGTTGCAGCTCATAGATGTGTCCAAGTCCTGACTTACCAGCCACAACGTGAAAACAATCTAAGTCTGGCTGCCTACTGATACTACTTTCATCAGTCTCAGAATTCTTTCAGAGCTACAAGACTCACTGGAAATGGTCCACACTAAACCCCTTCGCTTGGTATGAGGAAATCAATGCTGAATAAGGCACAAAAACTGAGTTTTTAATATGACAACTCCATGTACCTAAGATGGTGCTATATGCGCTATCATACAGCTTTACGGTGTTTTTTTAAAAAACTGTCAGTGGATAAACATGACAATAACTGGACTTTGTATCAATTCACCTTATCATTACATTTAAGTGATGTCATAAGCCCAGATTGCAGATTTTCTGTTCCATGATTTACAGATTACAACCTATAGTTTAGAGGAGATTCACATTTCACAGTATTTTATGTTTAATAACAATTTGTCTCAAAAGTTTTTAATTAGTATATGTATTTTTACAAGTGCAGGAATTAAGAATTCCAAATTGAGACATTTAATGTATTTAAACCAGCTGCTTCTTTAATTCTTAAGAAGACTTGAAGTCATGCTATTATGCACAGGAAAATTTTAAAGACCACAGTATTCACTGTGGGGGGAAAAAATGCCCAAGAGAACTGTTCAATTTGAACTTCACAGTATATGTCAACTTGATACCCAATAAAGGCAAACACGTGTCACATTTACATTGTTGTCCACTTGAAAACTACATTTTTTCTACTTAACATATTAGAATATGTAGCTATGAACTGGTATTTCCTATGTTCAATGTTTTGGTTGCATTTTAAAATGCTATGGCACGCAAGTAGATTGTACACTAACACTTCTTTATGAAAGTTATCATCTGCATTGTTAGTATATTAGCATATATTCAGAACAAAATTTGAGGAGGTGGAGAAGGAGACAAAGAATACGTGACAGAAGGTATTGTGCAAAACTTTTAAATAAAGAGACGGGTTCCACATTAATAAAAACACGGTCTCAAACAAGCAATAATACAACTGCCCAAAAACTGCATCATTAGAGGTTATGCGGAAGCTTGTACTTTTCTGAGACTTCTCAATAAAATATACATTGAGTATGTCGAGTTAAGAGTTTTCTTTTTGAGGATATATCACAGAATTTCAAAGAAAGCCAGCTGTACTTTTGTTTTCTAACCCTGTATTATCCAGAGCTAAAACCCGGAGCATGAAAGTGAGAATTGATCTTTTGTCTGTCTTAAGCGATCTCCCCGAGGTCCAGAGCTCACTTGGCTGCCATGCGGAGGGCGCTCTCTGCATCGCGGATGTTCTCCTCCAGCCGACGCTTGTCCTGCTCCAGCTGGGTAAGATGTCTATTGAGCTGACGCAGAGATTGATCTTTCCTTCTCAGCTCCATCTTTGCCTCGGAGAGACTCTGCAAGCAGACAGAAAACAGAGTTACTTGTCAGCCCTGATAATTAACTTCAATTTATGCCATAGGCTATTAAACAAAGAAAAATACAGACTGACTGAGAAGTAGAGTTGGGTCATTATACATCAAGGTTTAACAAATTTCTGCAAAAATTTTATACATTTACTAATTAGAAGTGATAGAACTGATAAGATTTTGAAAAATGTTTTGCTACACAATATGACTTATTTGTTAAAGTGTTGAATAGTAAATATTTTCTCACTAGAAATATCTGATTATACAAATCTCAAGTTGTGTTTAATTTAATGATGAAATAAAGATTTCAGGAGACAAAACATATGAAATTTAGGATCTACGTAACTCTAAATTGAATTTACTAAGCATGCTATGCCCAAAGTGAGCATATGACTGAGAGAAAGGTAGATACCTAAAAAAGAATGGTGAACTTATTACTTCAATTAGAAATCTATCTGTAAGAAGCTGCTCTAGACTTCTTAGTGAACAAATTGGACTCTTAAAATGTATTTGTTTCCCAGTAAATAAATTTCAATGAAGGATAGAAACATAAATGTGATTAACACATTTCATTTAATACAAAAAGTTAAGAATAGTACTTGCACTCAGAATTAAAGTCTACAAATGTCTCCCTAGTCATAGAAGTATAAAATATATTCATTACTATTTAATCTGAAATACCCACTTAGGACAAGATTTCAAAATAAAATTATTCAAGTTCATCTTGAAAGTTGAGGGCTCAAGGTGTTAGAAACAATTCAAAGGAGTATTTCCTAGACCTCAAGATTCTAGGGCATGAAGTAATACAGAAATCAACATATATTTTATCACTAAAATTCTGTCATTCCTTTTCCTATGAAATCTCTAAAATAAGATTATCAGTTTTTCAATTTGTTTAGCAGTGCACTAAACAACTAACTGCATACACGTCCATGTTTTGCTTTTTGCTCAGAATTTAGCCACACATTATCCACGACTGTGCTTCATAAATCTAGTAAAGAATAAACAACATGCTATAAGTTTATGTTTAAAACTCTTCCCACACTATTCTTTCAGAACATTCACAATATGTACTTTTAAAAACTCTCGCTTCCTACATGGAGCTAAAACAATTCACTCCAGAAGCAATCATATCAAATCATGTAGTATTTTTAAATATTGTATGTTTTTAAATTCAGTAGCTCACTTTTAAAAGTCAAGTTGCTGTTAGATGAATAGGAATCAAAAAATTTTAAATGAGCAAATCATGACTACTCATTAGATATTCAATGTTATTTTAAAATTTCTAGCACTAGAAAATCTTCAAGAATAGTCTAAGGTTGATCAGTGGGTATTAGGGTACAGTTAGATAGGTCTAAGAAGTTCTGGTATGCTACTATAGGGTACAGAAATAGCAGAGTGCTGTATATTTCAGAAACATAAGAAGGGACTTTGAATGTTTTCATCATGATGAAAATTAATCATTTGAGAAAATACATGTGTTTGACCTGATTTAAACATTTTTAAATGTACATATGCATTGAAATATCACAACGTACCCAATATACAGAAAAAGTTTTTCATTTTATGTATCAGTTAAAAAATTAATGGATCTTCAATTTTAAAAAGAATGTATCATCATAAAATACTAACTGAATTCAAATTAACTTTTATAAGACAACAAAGACTAGATTTTTAAACTACTCTAAACCTAATTTTATGCCAATATTAAGATAGTTAAATACATTAAAGCATCATGAGATTTCTTCATTTAAAAACTAAAACCCATCTAAGTTCTTTTAAAGTCATGATTCTCAGCTTCTTTTAGGAAACACACACACACACGCATGCAGGCATGCACACAGGCACACACGCACGTGCGCGCAAAGATGCTCTTTTCAGGTATGAAGACAATACTAATGATCCACTCCCAGTTACACATAAAGCTTAAACTTTTTTCCAACAGAAATACTAAATTTTTGCCAACACACACAAATTCTCTTGCTCACTAACTCTGAGTCTATTTGTGAGGTGCTTATCTGTGGAAGGACTGTTCAAGGTTTCAGTTATTGTTTCCAGCTTTGATGAGATTGAAATTCACTGGTCCAATCTGGGAGAATTCACAAGCTTGGGTCATTATAAAACCATGCTTGACTTTTCTGCACATAGTTTACTTTAAAAGAAAATATAACTCTTAGCATTAAAACTTCTACTGTATATTTCCATCTTCTGGTATCATTCTTGCATCCCTCAGGAGCAGATGAGAGATGGGATACCAGCAGAGAGCTACCAAGTTCTTCTAACGTCTACACTGTTTCAGAGACAAAGAAAAGGAACCAGTATTATAAACCATACTTCCTATTAAGTGAAAATGAAAATATAGTTTTTAAAATATCATGGTTAATATATTTATTGGCATAGAAGTCTAATTTTAAAGAACTGAGGGACATTACCAAGGAATCAATAAATATCGATAGGGCCTAAGGTTTATGCTAATGTATGCAAAACATCAAGGCATAAAAAGTGGCTCAAAAATACATCATCTAACAGTCATTTTTTAATGACAAAAACAGACTCTAATAAATCTCACACTGAATTTTAATTATAACAAAATTTATTGGTATAAATCATGTATTTCCATAGATATCTCTAGAAAACACATAATATATCACAGAAATGCACCATTTTAAGTTCAGCTTCCCTCCTGTTCGGGTTCATCTCATTAAAGCCTATGATAAACTTTATGGACTCATAATATTTCCTTGCGAAGGCCTGTATCCAAGAGAGTGTGCCTCTGGGCAGCAAGGCAACAATGATAAGCAGCAGGTTAGCCACTAATTTCTCAACCAGGGTAGATTGTGGAAGTGTGATGTTCTGATATCCCAGAAACTGTTCAGGAGAGAATAGGATAAATCAAGTTTAATAACTCTGCTTCTAATTGTTCCCCCAATGCTCAACTCTAATTACTTGGAGAACTCTCCTGACTGTCACCTGATATTAAGTTGTTGGAGGCTGAGCCTGGAACAGCGAGATAATCAATAAACATTTAGTGGGGAGAAGAATGAAGATCCTTTTAAGCAGTGGGAACCTGCAGCACCCAAAGCCCTTCTGCTCATGAGAAAACCTATGGGACAGCCATAGTGATTGCAAAGCAATAATCCAAAGCACTGTTTTTAGGCCTTGAGGCCTTTAGGCAACAGTACATTTGAGGAAAAAAGGTTAACACGGTCACCCTAATTACAGCCCACTCTCACATACTTCATATATAAGCGAAGACAAGCCAATTAGGTAGAAAGGAAGATAAGGGAAGTTTTATTTGTATACTAATTAAACCCCTGATGAAATTAAAGGAAAAACATACAGCTCTGTAATTGTGTCTGAGAAAGGTCACTTCAGGTTCAGTTATCAGAACAGCACAGCCTTGAGATATTTCACTTAATCCACAATATAGCCCTCATTTTGTACTCAGGTCTTAATATTTACAAAAAAAAAAAATCAAAGAATTTATCTTTAAACAGTGTTGTGAACAATTCTAGCTGCTAGAAAGTTAATGCTAAATATGATAACAAAAGTCTTTTAAAAGCCAGAAAAATTCTACTTATACAAAACCAATGCACCAATATAATTCATCAAAGATTCCAGTTATTTTAAGTTCAAAACATTTTAAAGAAAACCTTTAAATGTATTTCAAAAGCTATTACAGAATCTTAATCATATGTCTTTTCAGATCATGCTTTTGCTTGTCTTCATGTATACATCTCATAATCCAAGAGAAAAAAGCCAATGCTGTCATTAAACTTTTATAAGAAATATTCACATCTGATATTTTTCCTAAAAATAGTCATGAAACATAAATATACTAGCAATGAAAGCTGGCAAGGCAAAATCTGGACAGAAAGAAAATAGTTACATACCAGGAAAATTTAGGAATGAAATACATGGTAAATATTAGATGCTCCAAAGATGTTCTAAGTATCTTTATTCTCATATACTTCTTCTGAAGTTTCTATAATAAACATGTATTACTATTGAATAAGAATACAAACTATTTTATGTTATACATAATTGTGTATTTCTAAAGCATTATTTAAGCTCATACATTTTAATTGTAAATATAAATTGAAATCTTATTAGTTTACATCTATGAAAAATATTCTGTGACATGGAAATTTTTCTTAAAATAATAGCTTTATTGAGATATGTCTGTTATACAAGTCAGTCTTTGTATAAATTCAGAGGGCTTTGCAGAGCTATGCAGCCATATCCAGTAGAGACCTTTTTTGAAGAGTTTTGTAAAAAAAAAAAACACAAAAATACCTTTTCAAAATAGCAAGGCTTCCTAAATACAGTATGTGCTACTATTTTAGCAAATTCTAATTTAATACTTTATGTATACAAGGTTTATAATTTTATTTGATGATAGTTTTAAGAACTAAAGTCATAAAACGAATTCCATGACAGTATTTGAGTAATAAATGTATAGCACAAAAGTTAAAGCTCTCTGAAAGGATACACACATCTGTCCAATTACTACCTCTGGGGTCAAGGAAATGGCTCAGGATCGCTCCTTGTCACATGGGTGGTGGGAGCGACGTGTTAGACCATTAGGCTCTAGGAAGACTATGCCCCTGCATACTGCTTTTAGAGACTTTCTTTTGTCTAATGGGAAAGAGCGATGGATCCACCTTCCTACAGACTAAAAGCTAATGGCTCATTCAATGTGGTATAAAAATTAGTTATATAAAATCACAGGCAAGACAACACAAATCTTATAAAGAACTAAGTCACGTTTCCTAAATTAGGAAAAAATATCTTTAACATTTGTAAAACGCAATTTGTAACTGTCTGTATCTTCTGAAGAAGCACTCCTAGACTTCAGCGAGCTAGGCAAAACATCTCAGGCCACTAAAATTAACCCTGAAAGGGGAAATAATTCTATTTTAAACCTACAAGAATGTGACAACTAAAACATAATATTAGTAAGAATTAAGTAACTTTTGAGTGGAACA